AAATGAAGCCCAGGAAATTCAAATCCCGGGCTTCATTTGCAAGTGCGGTATGCCTACCTTACCCCGCTAGTTCGCACTAGGAGGGTAGTGTAGACATACCCTGGGTCTGCAGTCTCCTGGGGGATGGAGCAGGGACTGGAACATTCATGGGAGCAGGATGGTCAGTTGGTGGGGCCTTGGCTTTAGCATCCTCTCCTGTGTTCCCACTTCTGTTTGCCAGGTCTCTGCCTTCATTTCCGCTACCTTGGCCTGTGCTTCTGCTTCCATTCGCCTTGTGTCTGCTTCTATTGCTGCTAGCTTGGCCAGATGTTCTTGTTCGGCGAGCTAGTCCTCGGCCTCTGGTTGTGCACGCTCGGCCTCTGGTTGTGCACGCTCGGCCTCTGGTTGTGCACGCTCGGCCTCTGGTTGTGCACGCTCGGCCTCTGGTTGTGCACGCTCGGCCTCTGGTTGTGCACGCTCGGCCTCTGGTTGTGCACGCTCGGCCTCTGGTTGTGCACGCTCGGCCTCTGGTTGTGCACGCTCGGCCTCTGGTTGTGCACGCTCGGCCTCTGGTTGTGCACGCTCGGCCTCTGGTTGTGCACGCTCGGCCTCTGGTTGTGCACGCTCGGCCTCTGGTTGTGCACGCTCGGCCTCTGGTTGTGCACGCTCGGCCTCTGGTTGTGCACGCTCGGCCTCTGGTTGTGCACGCTCGGCCTCTGGTTGTGCACGCTCGGCCTCTGGTTGTGCACGCTCGGCCTCTGGTTGTGCACGCTCGGCCTCTGGTTGTGCACGCTCGGCCTCTGGTTGTGCACGCTCGGCCTCTGGTTGTGCACGCTCGGCCTCTGGTTGTGCACGCTCGGCCTCTGGTTGTGCACGCTCGGCCTCTGGTTGTGCACGCTCGGCCTCTGGTTGTGCACGCTCGGCCTCTGGTTGTGCACGCTCGGCCTCTGGTTGTGCACGCTCGGCCCCTGGTTGTGCACGCTCGGCCCCTGGTTGTGCACGCTCGGCCCCTGGTTGTGCACGCTCCACGTGTAGGAGAAACTCCATCTCTTTCTCAGAGGCCTGCCTGCCTTCAAGGCATAATCCCACATAGAAGACAGAGGTGGGGGAGGAGGGCTGCTGTTCCTTGTTTCTGCCCTCTCAAGGTTACTCCCCCCTGGACTCACGGGGACCTGCTTCTGACTCCTCTCCTTGGGGTATGAATCTGTCCTAGAGCTGGGCATCCTGCCTTAACTAGCCTCACCTCCGGTTGCCCCAAAAGCTAGAACAAAATTAACTGCTTAGGTAGGATGGTCTTTGTCTGGCTTAAGCTTCAGCTTCTGTCTGCCCCTCCCAGAGGCAGCGAGAAGAAAAAGGAAAAAAAATCTCCAAAGCTTGCAACTAGTCAAAAGAAAAACCTGTGTCCTTTTAAAACTCTTAGCGTCTCAAAAAGATCCCGTTGCTCTGCCACCGTGTCACGGCTCCTTCCCCACTCTGGCACGATAAATGCAGAAGTGGGGGCCCGCAAAAGTATTGGAGGATTGGAGTATTGTGTCCAGTTCTGGGCCCCCCACTACACAAAGGGTGTGGACGCATTGGAGAGGGTCCAGCGGAGGGCAACCAAAATGATTAGGGGGCTGGAGCACATGACTTATGAGAAGAAGCTGAGGGACTTGGGTCTGTTTAGTCTGCAGAAGAGAAGAGCGAGGGGGGATTTGAGAGCAGCCTGCAACTTCCTGAAGGGGGGTTCCAAAGAGGATGGAGAGCGGCTGTTCTCAGGAGTGACAGGGGTCTGTTTAGTCTGCAGAAGCGAAGAGTGAGGGGGGATTTGAGAGCAGCCTGCAACTTCCTGAAGGGAGGTTCCAAAGAGGCTGGAGAGAGGCTGTTCACAGTAGTGACAGATGCAGAACAAGGAGCAAAGGTCTCAAGTTGTGGTGGGAGAGGTCCAGGTTGGATATTAGGAAAAACTATTTCACTAGGAGGGTGGTGAAACACTGGGAGGGGTTCCCTAGGGAAGTAGTGGAGTCTCCATCCCTAGAGGTGTTTAAGTCTCGGCTTGACACAGACCTGGCCGGGTTGATTTAGTTGGGATTGGTCCTGCCTAGAGCAGGGGGCTGGACTTGATGACCTTTTGAGGTCTCTTCCAGCTCTATGATTCTATGATTCTATGAAAACCTGGTCTCTACAGGCTTTGGTAAAAACGTCCCCTCAAAATCTTAACAACCTAGATTTGGGGTTTAAAAACTCTGCTGCCACCATCCGAGTATTGATACAAAAATCAGGGGAGAGATCCCTTGTGAAATCTCAGCCCTAAAGTACAAACCAGGACACAAAAATTAACCAACACCAGGTTAATAAAAAGAAAAGAGATTGACCCAAACGATACCCTACTTACAGATAGTGAAGAGTCTATTCTTGGAGGGAGACATTCTGTCTGTCCCCCTCAGTTCCACGAGGAGTAACGGTAGTTCGAATTAGAGATCCTAATTTGAACTACCTACTCTGTGCCGTGTGTAGCCGCGGGCACGGAGTTCGGACTAAGGGGATTTAAAAATGGTGGCGCCCGGGAAGATGCAAATGAAGCCCGGGATATTTAAATCTCAGGCTTCATTTGCAACTTTGAATGCCTACATTAGCCTCCCTAGTTCGAATTAGGGGGCTAGTGTAGACATGCCCTTAGTGCCCAGGCTGCTGGCCATTTCTCATGATCATGACCGTCTCGCACAGTGTGTGTGCTGCTCCGTGAATGGAGGTTCTAGGTGCTCCAAGAAGATGAAGAAGAGCAGAACACCCCTCTACTGGCCCCATAATTGAGTTTGTGTCGCTGTGCAAAGTTGGGCAAACGAAGTAGATTAAATGGGGTTAGAATTTATTTGCCAAAGTATTTTAAAAGTTTGGATTTCCCCTTCCATGCCTGGAACCCCCCCGTGTTCATTTCACGATGCACAAGAAAGAACAAACAAATTTTCCAACGGGCCTAAGAAAGTTAGTTGCCCAAATCTTTGTGAACTGGATTTGGGTGCTCCGTTCCCACTGGCTTTAGGGGGATCCGATTCCCTTTGAATTGGATTTGTGGGCCTCATTACTTTAGGCCCACGTTTACTCACTCTGCGGGAGTCACAAGCAGGTCTCGGCTCTTTGCCACGCAAGGTACCGAGGCAACATCAGAGCCGCGAGCAGCCCTGGAGGTTAGAGACGCTTCTCCCCAGGGCTCTTCTCGCAGCCCGCTTCACCTCCTGGTTCCGAAGACTGTAGATAACGGGGTTCAGGGTGGGCGTGAGGACCACGTAGAGCAGAGCCGAGACTCTGTCGCCGTCCCCGCCGTAACTCGACTTGGGCCGGAAATAGATGAAGCTGCCGGAGCCGAAGAAGACCGTCACCACCAGCAGGTGCGAGGAGCAGGTGGAGAAGGCCTTGCGCCGGCCCTCGGAGGACGACATCTTGAGGATGGTGGCCAGGATGTGGGCGTAAGACACGAGGATCAGCAAGAAGGGAGCCAGGACCACCAGCACGGCCACCACAAAGACCTCCGCAGGCCAGCGTCAGCAGCGGGGGGATGTCGCAGAAGAAGTGCTGGATCTCGTTGGGCCCACAGAAGGGCAGGCTGAAGATCAGCGTGGTCTGCCCGAAGGAGACGGGCACGCCGGCCAGGTAGGACCCAGCCACCAGCAGCAGGCAGACCCTGTCGCCCATCACGGCGCTGTAGTGCAGCGGGTGGGAGATGGCCATGTAGCGGTCATAGGCCATGGCAGCCAGCAGGTAGCACTCCGCCGTGGCGAAGAACAGGTAGAAATACAGCTGGGTGGCACAGCCGGTGAAGGAGATGCTCCTGTTGTCCAGCAGGCCAGCCAGCAGCTTGGGCAGGGTGACGGTGGTGTAGCAGACCTCCAGGAAGGACAGGCTCCGGAGGAAGAAGTACATGGGGGTGTGGAGGGACTGGTCCAGTGTGGTGAGCACCATGATGAGGGTGTTCCCCACCAGAGTGATGATGTAGGAGACCAGCACCAGGACAAAGAGCAGCAGCTGCAGCTCGGAGAGGTTGGAGAACCCCAGGAGGATGAAGTGTGTCACCACGGTGCGGTTCCCGCCGGGCATCTCCGCTGGCAGATGGGCTGGAGGTATCTAGACAAGAGAGAGGAGCCATCAGTGTATAGCATCCTAGAGCCTGTAGACCTGGCAGGGACCGTGAGAGGCCGTCAGGTCCAGTCTCCTGCCCTCACGGCAGAACCAAGCACCGTCCAGACCATCCCTGACAGGTTTTTCCTAATGTCCAACCTAAACCCCCCTGGCTGCAGTTTAAGCCCATTGCTTCTTGTCCTGTCCTCAGAGGCCAAGAACAATTTTTCTCCCTCCTCCTTGTGACACCCTTTTAGGTACCTGAAAACCGCTTCATGTCCCCTCTCAGACTTCTCCTTTCCAAACTCAATAAGCCCAATTTCTTCAGTCCTTCAGTACGAGCCACCAAGCCCTGCCTTGCTCCTTCAGAGCTTCTAAGGTGCTAAAGGTCCATTCTGCTCACCTGTTCTGATTCCCTGCCTGTCACAGGCCAGAGACCTGCCCCAAAATTCTTCCTGCCAAAGTGCTGAGGAGTTCTCTGGCACCTTATAGATTAACAAATTTATCGGAGCATAAGCTTTCTTGGGCAAAGACCCACTTCGTCAGATGCAGGGAGTACAAATTCCAGAGGCAGATATAAATATATTGGCATAAGAAAAGAGTACCAATCAAGTACCAGAAATTATTCCTGTTCAAATAGCTGCAGAGCAGTTACAAAAACCTCCCCTCTTGATTTCAAAGACGGCCAGCAATGGAAAATCCACCGGGGCTGTCCCATCCGTGCCTCATTTCCAGCCTGAGCCTGTTTCACTCCAACTTCCAAGTGCCTCGCTAGGTAGAAAGCAATCGATCTCCATCAGCTTTTGTCTCGCACCAGTTTCCTGTCCACTGCAATGTCTATTGGAGAGCACTGTTCCCCGCCCAAGCTGTCCAGGCTGGGGGTGGATTGGACAGGAGTGGATCCCCGTGGAAACCACTGTTGGGTGGTAACAACAACTTTTCACGGACCCCTTAGACATAATCTGTGCATCCCTCCCCCCCCCCCACACGGGGCTGCC